TCTGGGTATCGCTCAATCCAAGACTACCGCGTTCCATCCCATGTCCAATTCTATCGTAGAACGCACCAACCGAACTCTGATTAACATGTTTGCAAAATTCCTTGAACAGCATGAGCACGCTGAGTGGGATAGAAATCTCCCGTTACTTTTGCTTGGGTTGCGAGCTCAAGTGCATCGATCTTTAGGTGTGTCACCCTATTGTGTCATGTTTGGAAGAGAGCCCCGGCTACCGATTCAGCTGGAGCTCGACACCCCTCTGAAGGGCCGAACCCGACCCATCACGGAATATCTTGATGAACTGCGATCAAATTTGCAGGCACTTCATCGTCTCGCATTTGACAATGCAAGGCTCAGTCATCGACGGAACAAGGCGGTTTATGATCGGAAGATAAATGACTTTAAGTTTGCCCCAGGTGACCGTGTTTATTTGCACAAGGGAGTGGTCCCAAAGGGATCATATTATAAGTTCCTCCGACCGTGGAAGCCCGCGGTTGTTATAGCCAAAGTCGGAGATATGAACTATAGGATAAGGTTAGATGGTGCCAAAGCGACACTATACTTGTGCACCACAACAGGCTCAAGCCACGAGCTGGACAGGATCCGGACCAGCCGCGGAGCGGTGTCGCGACCGATCCCGCGACTGATCCTGTGCACCCCACAGGGGGGAGGGGACGTGTGGGTGACTGGTCTCGGGAGGTGGTGGGGGAGTCTCAGTGGAATGGCCATGCTGATGAGCCAGCTGTACTCACTCGTATTGCCCCTGATCAGTCGTATGTCCCATGTATTTCGCATCCGGCACTGAATTTGAGTCCCACTGTGCCGCTCTTGACCAGCGGTGTCCCCGGTGATTCGGGAGATGAGAGACCTGACCCAGGCGCGGGTGACAGACTGAGTCCCGCTGGTAATCGTGAAGGGCAGACGGAGGGTTCGGAGACCACCGCATTAGGCGATGCGCCTCTGAGACGCTCTGCGCGGAGTAACAAAGGTGTGGCTCCTGAGCGGTTGACTTATGAGTAATTTTGTTTGGTAGCTGCCGTTGAGCCGTGAGCACTGAGCATTGTCATGTGAAAGTTCTAGCCCGAGTCTCTGTGGTGAAAATAAGGTGGAGCGGACAATGTTGGGTCGAGGGCCCCGACTCCTTCATTTGTTATGTCTCTAGTGGGTTGAATGGAGACTTGTTCGATTATTGCCGCAGATTCAGAGGGATGTAGCTGGAATTTGTGCAGTGTTATAATGTGCTCCTCGACGGTGTCAATTGTCCGGCGCGTGTGTGATTGATTTCTGATTGTGCTGCCGCTGTTCCGGCCGGTGTTAAGCTGACGTTGAGAGGACTGTATGCTCGTTAAGGGGGAAGAGTATAGGCGGTGTGCCGCGCAGCAATCCGGCGGCTCTACGCCGGTTGCGGGGAAATCAGGTCATGTGACTCAGGTCATGTGACTCCCGCGGGTCGAGAGCCACCAATCGCTGCGCGCCACGATTGGCCGGCGGGTCGGCCGTCCGGGCCGCGCGGCGGCGACCCCGCCATTCGTGCACTGGTTCTGTGTGGTTCTTGTTGTGTGCGTCTGCGTGAACGGTAAGATTTGCTATTTTGTTACTATGAATTGTTGTAAACCCTCATTTGTTGTTAACTTTGCTTTGCTTAGTGGTTATTTTCATCGTTGGCTTGTATTTGTGCGTTGTTAAGTTAATTTTAATCTGTTGCAGGACGCGAGCTTATGGCGAGCTAATTGTCGAGCTAATGGCGAGCTAATGGCAAGCTAGTCTGTGGAGCTCATAACTAGTTGATAGCGGAGCTAATGTCTGGGATTTGAGTTTTGAACTCCGCACCACAATATAAACTTGGAAGCATCAGCACCGTGTCGTGGATGGGAGGCAGCAATCGTGACGCAGAGCTCGGCACCCCGGCCCTACATACTAGTCGTCAGCTGCCCGCGGCAGTGTGCGTGGGAGTCGGCTTTGCGGGCAGATGAGTCGACGGGCCGGGGAGGCTTCCGATCTTGTAGATTCCCCTGAGGATAAGGAGGCCGGGGAGGGGCTGTTATTACCGGATGCATGCCACAGCTGCGTACCAAACTCATATAATCCCGCTGTCGGCCGGCGCAGATGTTATCTGGACCATTCGTCAGCATCTGATGACAATGCAAAAACGAGCTTAAGAGCTCTTCGGTATGCCAGGTCTGGCTATCCGCCGTGCCTCGTACGTATGGCGAGTCGCCTGGGTGTTAGAGTGTGCCGCAGTGCACACTGCGTGGTTAGGCTGTGCCGCATTGCACCACTGCGTGGCTAGGCTGTACCGCAATACTCGTACCATCCTAACGCTGCAGAAGGCGGGCTAATGGTTCTGCGGCGGTAATAACACTGACGAATAGCGCAGAGGAAACCCCCGCTGTGCCGAGGAGTGAGGCAATGAAGAAACAGTGGAGACGATGGCTCGACAGGGCAATGAAGGACTCTGTATTTTAGCGCCGGATCTCTAAACGGAGATGTGAACTGTATGTGATGTTTTCTGGGCCACGTTTGACGTTATTCAATAAAATGATTCACATTTCAGATAGCTAGTTGTGAGAAACTAAATGACATGAGATGAAGCTCTTCGCATCATTGCCTTTTATTCTTACAGCGAGGTCAGAACTTGGCCAGGCTCTTTACCGCTCTGTCGCACTACCGGAAATTAAATCTCAGCTACATTTCCTTTGGGAAAAGCAATGAATCGAACTCGTGGTTTCCTTTCATCGACAGGCATAGGCATTTCAATTTGTGAGCTTTGAATGTAAAACGGGCCAAATATGAAACAGGACAAAAGCTTTTGTGATACCTATCCTCAGATTTCGCGTGCTCTGAAAATTTTGGAGACGACGTCCACTGAGCTTGTAGTGGAAGAATGGATGATTTTTTGTGGTCCCGGTATGTGTACATGTGAATCATATCTTCACTGATGCTGTTATATGCAGCACGTCGTTGAAGCCTGTCGTAGCTGTCGTTTCTGGTGCAAACAGAATGGACACAACACAAGTAACAGAAAAGAAGAAGTAAAATTTACACTTGATATCGGCATATTTTTCGCCATGCTGAGGAGAATGCGGGTGGGCACAGAAAATGTGGCAAGTTTGTCAACTAAAATAAGTGAAAACAGTAATGAAACTAAAGTGAAAACAGAAATGGATACACTTTCAAATGCCAAGAACTTAGAAAATAAGACACCTATCAGAGTGACTCCAATAAGATGTTGAGTGACGATTCCTTATTTTCAATTCTATGTTTTAGTTCCTGGGGATATTTTATTTTGTCGGGCTTCACTGAGGTGATTATTTGTTTAAGGATCAAATGTTTTCATGTTTCTTTAGCTAACTCACGAAACAGAGAAGCAATCATCTCCGATTACGTCTTTTCATAAGTTTGGTGACTGCTTTCCATAGCCTTCCGTAAATGATATCAGAAAAATGATAATGGTGATATCTGGTAAAACATGTTTTCTAGGAAACTGCACTCAGAATATCAGCTATTAGCTAACCGTCTATATGTCTCGACTAAAACAGGCATGCAGTCGGGAGTGATCCAGCATCGGTCGAGGCAGAGCTCGGGAGTGTAGGGAAGAAGAGGGGTGTGGTGTGGGGAGCTGAGAGGGGCGGGACATCACTCTTCCTCCGCGGACGTCTCGGGAGTGATGGCGGACCTGAGCCACTCCACCTCCGCTGGTCGGTGGCCGGGTATATCCGCGGTAATGCTCCTGCATTGTCATCGAGGAGGGTCGCTGGGAAATGGGAATGTAGTCACTGGAGCTAGTGAGCTTTGGATGCTGTGCTGATTCAACAACAGCAAGCAAACATTTATTTAACATGAGATGAAAATAAGCATATAGTCCATGTGGTGGTGCAAAAGCAGATGCTTAATTCGACGCAGATGCACCACCATTTAAAGCTGGTTTGCGATCAATACACCATCATTAAAAGTAAGACTTTTTTAGTATGCTTTGTGAAAGCCTTCATTTTAGCGAGGGGACGATAAACAAGATAAAGCATATTTCATGAAGTCACATTTAATCACATTCAATTAAACTGTCTGAACTCTGAACCAAGAACTACGTTTGGATTTCGAAGATTTAGTTTTGATAATGATTCGCACGTATTTACATTAATCCAAAACAAATTCATGAAATAAAACTTTTTCTTTCAGCTACAGCATAATTCAATAAGCTCGTGATGCCGTAATTCATAGGCGGTTCGTTTTGGTTTCTCTGAATTCCACGTTCGCAGGCCGAGGCGCAGGCTGTGACTGACAGGGCCACTAATTGAAAGTCCGAGAAAAGAGAATCGCTATGGAGATGAATAATCCTTCAGTTACAGGTGCTAATAAGCACACAACAAAGAATTAATGAATTAGGTCTGTTGAATGTACCTACCTACCTATTGCAATTCGAACCTTAACCAAAAGAGTTTTTATAAATAAAAGTGCCCTTTTACAGCTTTAAATCCACACATATCTTAACGATCGATAATAATATGATTATTGATTATCGTCATTAGCCCATAGGCATGAGCTACCCCGCTTACCTGACCGAGCCAACCGTTAATGACTGAAGTCCCTTGTGCGTCGAGCTGCGTGCGCTAGTGCTGACTTCTTCTCAGTAAGGCTCACAAATTATGCACACACGCTCGCGCGGTGTTCGTGCAAAATACATCTGCCGGTCCCCGTGGAATGTTATTGGTGTCAGAGTGATTGATAAGAGAGCTTCCATTCGCATGGTGTGCATGTTTCATAAGCAAAGAGCTCGTGGGACTGGGCGATAGTTTCTGACGATCAGACGTTAGTATGCTTTTAACAAAACGTTTAAACGTTTACTCAAATAATGCCATGGCAGATGGTACGAAATCTAATCTAATTTCACCAAATTATTTCGTTTAAATTTTGTAGCTTAGCTTGGGATGCACACTGCACACAACCACTCCTGCTGTGCACCTATCAGATCAAGGTCTGATGAACCGTCTGCCTTCTGTTTGCAGCTTATATGACGTCAACAATGACGGCTTCATCACTGAGGACGAGATGCGACTGGTGGTGAGCGCCATCTACCGACTGATCGACACGACGCAGGCCGACCACGTCTCTCCCGACGAGAGAGGACAGGATCTGTTCTCGGTGAGACGTCGGCCGGAGGGCGCAGCGATGGTGCTGACATCTATACTGAGAGGGCTAACAGGATCGAGCCGAAGGCTGTAGGTGGCAGGCCGGCAGATAAACGGATAGAGCTATCCGTTTATCTGCCGGCCTGCCACCTACAGCTCTTGGCTGCTCTGACTACTCGATGCACGTTTTAAAGGTCGTTCACTACCATGAGCCACTCTAGCTTTTCGGAGACTTTCCAGCTTTCCCATCCATATTACTTTAATTTACCATCATTGATTACTTACAAAGTTATGCATATGTTAGGACGTTACATACTCCAACAAGTGGTCATCCTACCAGACCACTGATGAACCTGGGCAGCTTATCACATAGAAGTATACCTACCCTTCCGGGTTGACCGTTCCAGCGGATGTATGGCCTCTGAGTCTGTTACATCGGGCGTGTCTGTTCTAAGAGACGGTTGGTTTTCCTTTTGCATGTATAGTATGGTCCATTGGCAGATTCATCTGGCACATTTTTTGACACATTATGCCAAAGTCGAATCTGACGATGGCCTAACTAAACGCGAGAGATTATCCCTTGGTGGCCCATAGCTAAACTTGACCGCTATTCATTGTCGTTCTTGCTTTTCAGAGGATCGACACAAACCATGATGGTATTATAACCCTGGAAGAATTTACTACTTATTGCTCAAAGGTGGGACAATAGCACCTATTAGCTTTGAGACTTTGTAGTTTGGTGTACAGTTATGTGTCCTCTACTTCATTGAAGTGAGATGCGTTCGCAGATTCGGTGAGAATCTGCATTTGAATGCATTTCTAAAAAGTGTAGCTTGAAACGTTTTCGAAACGTGTAGCTCGAAGCTGGTTTTGTCGCCGAACTGCCGCGCAATAAAACCCCACGTCTGAAGTTGCATGTTGCATGTACATATGTAATATGCACGGACGGGAACTGTTTGCCAGCATGTAAGTTTTTTACTATGATAAGTTAGGCTTCTTTTAACGAGTTTCGGTGTACATGCCCAATAATTATAATAGAAATTACATCAATCTGATTGTGTACCCTTTCTACCTACGAATTCCATGCCTTTCAGCTGTATTGGTTCGTACTCATCTAACTATGGTTATTTCAATCACCAATTTTCTTACAAACCTCTCTTTTTGCAGGATGTCACGATTCTGTCGGGGCTCAACATGTACAACTTGATGTGGGAGACATGAATTCCCAAAATATCACGTCATGAAGACTGGCACCCATCGTCTGGACGTCAGTATGACGTGTATCGAACGTCAGTGTAACGTCAGGTGACGTGCAGTTCAAGTTTCTTGAGCATTTTCTCCGCGGTCGTTAGACGTTTGTGGAACATTGACGTTAGGTAGAACTTCAATGCTTGTCTTCAGCAGGCAACATCACAGTTTAATGCTGTAGGGGATGGTCTGGATGGATGTCAGTTGGCACTTTTCGCTGCAGTTACGCGTGGACTGGACGTCAGTTAGACGTCAGGTGAGCTTGAGCTGGATGCCAATCATGGAGTTAGTTTTACGTGAGCTGGACGTGAGCCTCATGCGGTTTTATGTACGTGATAATGGGATAAACGTGAGATGGACGTGAGTTGCATACGTGAGAGATAACACATCAAGTGAATGTAAGAATGTCACTCTAGACGATCCACAAAGGGCAAGTTGAGGAACGAATCTCAACATTTCACTAAGGCTGATCGGCTCCGCGGGTTAATGCTGCTTTGTGTGAGTCTGCGACTGAGCGAGTCAACTGTTTACCGATTCTTTAGGACGTCAATGCCAGTAATCGGCCTACGGCCAGAGCTGGCTAAATCCATCACCTGCATAATGTTTGAGTCCCGTTTATCCAGGAATTGTTTTAAGTCTTTACATACGACCGGCGCAAGTGACCGCGCTAGTTATACATAGTGGCGTTGATGCAGTCGATGCTGCACGCTACCGTGCGACTCAATTAGTGATGAAAAGCAGCCGAGTTGGTCGACATTTCGAAATGAGTGATTATTTCATGTGTGAAATAAAAGTTCATAAAATGTTTCAAAATCGCATGCAGTGATAAGTAAAATATACGTATTCGTAACGTTGATATCTTGACCAGTAGTGTGCTATTTGTGCCAAATTTCCCAAGTCTGCATATCAGAAAGCGATTCGTAAGTGGCAATCCAAGAAGCAAAATCATGAAGTGGATTATGTACAAATTTATAAATACGGTCTACTACTGACCTAAAACAGAGTGATGCCTTTGAATTTTGATCACATTTAATGCAATAGGTCCATGTGTAGCCGCGGTACCCGCTCCCATACAAACGGCGCTCAGCCGTAACTGGCCTGTATTTGGTCGTTTCTGTAGAAACAAACAGTACGAAAATTAATGCAACGAAAACAGCAAAACATGCACATAACGCGGGCGACAACAAAAGCAAATAACACAATAAAACTAACGAGACAAATTACGTCACCGTGCGCCAATCCCCTCACATAATCCGAACAGCGCGGCAATTCTCCCGATAATTAACATCTAACTTCAGCTTGCAAATCCGATAGTAAATGGGTTCAGCAATAACATTTCAATGTGCCAGGGACCAATATCATTCGTTACATACCGACAGGTAACGCCTCCTGCGGGACATTCCACGCGGCTCGCTCCTGACACGACGGTCACCATCGAATCATACCTAGAACAGGTCAATAAGTTTTCTCAGGTATCTGCGCCAATAACACTGAACTGAATATCACATATTTCATGCCGACGTAAATAAAAGAACAATATCAATTTCAGGTCTCTCAACTCACCATCAGTTGCGACGGAGCACAGCACACAACGTCACACGCTTATCGCCTCTCGACCAGCAATGGCGCCGCGACCCAGTCGCCGGTCACTGCGACACGCCCCGCGCACGAACACATGACGTGGCAGCTCGAAAGTAAATCGCACAACATCGGGATACTTATAACAGTGTTGGAAATATTGTTGAATAAATAAGCACCCGAAACAATCAATTTTTGAGCATTTGCAATTACAGATACATATAAACGCTTATGCTATATTGTGTCGGACGGCACTACTTCTCAGGTCACTCGCGGTTAATCATTAGCGGCATCTATCGGCAGTGGTCACATTTACAGGCTCGGGTAGCCGGCCAAGTTGGCGTCGAGCCAGAAAGGCGCACGGTGAACTACGGACAAATCATATTGGAACAAAAGATAAGGGAACGGAAGGAAAAAAGGAAACGATAGAGCGCGGCGACCACACCCCCTCCCCTGAACCCTCCTGGTTCAAAGATCTTAGCCAAAGCCGCGCTCAAGGCAGCCGTCTGCTTGATGTGTGGTATACAACAACCAACAGGGTTTCTTGCTTATCTTCTAGACGCTTCAGATAAGGCACCAATATTACCAACAAAGACATTCTTCCGAAAATCGCACTTGTGACACAATCACAATATCGAAACCAGATATTCCCAGTTTCGCGTCTTGCAGGTCTTCCTTCGTACTCAACGCCAAAACCCGCGCTGCTGCTGCTGCTGCTGCTGCTCCTGCCGCTGCTGCTGCCGCTGGCGCCGGCAGAAGCTCATCCACCGGTCATCGCCTGCCGGCACCACACACACACTCACTGGGCGACCCCCAGCGCCCACTCTTCCGGACCCGGGCGACCCAAGTGGGCCCACGGTCTGCACCCGCGCAAACCCACTGAGCTCCCGACGTCCCACAGGCAACACTGCCTCCAAACGGACTGAAAGCGTCCCGACTCTGGGCTCCACGGCTCCAACTTTGGCTCGGTGGTCTCACTTTAGACACAACGGTCCTTCCAACCCACTGGCCCCTCCTTTGGACCTCACATCCCTCGTCTGATAGCAAACTGTCCTCCCTTGGTCCATACACGACCCAACCAAGTGCCGTCCGAACAGCAAACGGACATCCTTCCTCAGCCGAACGAACTTCCAAGGGAACCAAGGCCTGAGGACAGTTGGCTCCAATCAGCAATCCGATGTCGACATCCACACGTTCTGCAACAACCTCCTGCAGATGCGGCCATCGTCGCAGGTCTTCGATTCTTGCAATGTCGCTGTGATCCACCGGTACCTTGTCCAAGGTGTACAGGCGCGGCATGGGGATCACATTACTGCCCCTGGTGTCAGAGATCTTCAATCCTTTGACCATTTTGGAGGTGATCTTCTGATTCACTGCTGTGGCAGTCGTCATGGTGAGATCCTCCACTTTTCCATCCATGCTGAGGCTCTTCAGAAGTTCTGGTGTGCAGAATGAAGCAGACGAACCCATGTCGAGGAATGCGTACGTCACAGCAGATTTTGAACAGTCTTCATTCCAAACCTGCACAGGTAAGATGGCCATCATGGCTGACGAGCTGCCTGCTGTGCCTGTCGAGATCTCCAGCCTCCCACTCTTCACTAGAGTGGATTGCTGGCTCCCGCTGTCAGTACGTGTTGCAGTCCCAGGGGTTTCGTCTTTGTGCATTGCGGTCGGATGAAGTCGCTTGCAAGATTCACAGGTCAGCTTCCTGAAGCAAGTTCTGAACTGATGTCCTTTACGTAAGCAGCCAAAGCACAGCTTATTCTCCAGCACAAATTTCCGCCTCTCCTCGAACTGCAGCTTGCTCAGCTCCAGACAGACGTCGGTGAAGTGTCTTCCTTGGCAGTACAAGCACGTCACGGTACGGCTTCCTTCAGTCACAGTGGTAGCAGACACGGTAAACGTGGCCTTCTTTGTTCTCTCATCCTTCTGTTTTCCGAAGGTTCGGTCTGTCAAAACCTGAACCTCATGATCAACGAATGATACGATGTCGTTGAAAACCACTTTTCTTCCCTCAGTTTCTTTGATCTGATGCGCACGTCTGCGCCATGCATCCTGAAGATGGACAGGAAGCTTCTCAACCACTCTTCTCATCGTTCGGGGATGATCAGTTTCTCTTTCACCAGGTGGTATCTCTTGCATTACATTCAGGCACGACGTCAGAGTAAGTGAGAAGCGATCCAACGCGTCTACATCTCCCGGCTTCACCTGGGGCCAGTCCACCAGCATGTCCACGAACGCCGACGAAATGGACTCCGGATCACCGTAGCGTCTCTCCAACAGTCGTCGCGCCTCCAGGTAACCAGCTTCGTCGGACATATACAGACATCCTCTGATGATTTCCCTCGGCTTTCCGCTGCAGTATTGTTCCAGGTAGAGCAGCTTCTCGGCATCGTTGTCCGTCTTGCTGCCAATCCTGCTTTCGAAGGCACGCAAGAAAGACCTGTACTTGGTTATGTCACCCGTAAAAACTGGTATATCAGGCGTGGGAAGACCAGTCCTTTGCAACTGCGACAGGAGTATCTGCGTGGCATCCTGCTGACTCCTGCTCTTGCTGCCATTAGCTTCGTGGGGAACTTGGACAGGAGCTGGCTGGAACCTCGTACTCCCATCGGTCATCGGTTCTGCCGGGACGACTGGAATAGGACCGGGCCTCGAGAGAGGCAGAGTCCTCCTCAACGCAGACACTTCTTGGATTTCAGATGCTGCTGCTCTCTCCGGCTCCACGCGCTGGTCTCCGGTGGGCGGCTGTTCTACCAGTTGGGCCACTCCAGGATTCAGGGCCATTTCACTCTCCAGCAAAACCTGTTCTCTTGCTTCAGACTCGGCAAGTTCAGCTTGAAGCTGTAGCTCGTCCTGGCGCATTTTCATTTCCATGGCTTCCATCTCGAGCTTCTGCTTTTTCTTCAGAAAGGAAGCCCGCGCGATCAGTCCAGCCTTCTTAGCAGATTCTGCAGCACGCAAAGAAGAAACAGAAGCTCGTGAGGCGGAACTGTCCATGGATGCCTGCGAACCGGCTCTCACGAGTGGTCCAGGGGCTGGAGAAGAGTCGTCCTCACGACGAGAAGAGTCTCCAGCATTGGCATCCTCCAGGTGTCCGTTCTTCTTTGCATCATCTCTTCGTGAAGCGACAAAGCATGCCACATCCACACCTTGATCATCCAGCAACTCCTTCAAACGGATCATGAGTACCGATTTCGAACCTCTTGTGTCTGCTCCCCGCTGTCTCAGTTCAGACTTCAGCTGCGAGACCTTGAATTCTTCCAGCGGATTCATGACGAAAGGCTAACTGTAGCAAACACGGGTACAATTACAGCTTCGGGTAACAACAACTTCGTGCGTGTCGTTCCAACTGCAACTTCGTCGGCGCGGCTCCAACTTCCAACTTGTCGGTGCGGCTCCAACTTCCAACTTCGCTGGCGTGGCTCCAACTGCAACTTCGCTGGCGCAGATCCAACTGAAACTTCGCTGGCGCGGCTCCAACTTCCAACTTGATCTTCACAGCTCCAACTGCAACTTCGCTGGCGCGGCTCCAACTTCGACTTCGTCGGTGCGGCTCCAACTGCGAATTCGTCGGTGCGGCTCCAACTTCGAATTCGTCGGTGCGGCTCCAACTTCCAACTTGTCGGCGCGGCTCCGACTGCGACTTCGTCGGCGCGGCTCCAACTTCCAACTTGTCGGTGCGGCTCCAACTGCGACTTCGTCGGCGCGGCTCCAACTTCCAACTTCGTCGGCGCGGCTCCAACTTCCAACTTCGTCGGCGCGGCTCCAACTGCGACTTCGTCGGCGCGGCTCCAACTGCGACTTCGTCGGCACGGCTCCAACTGCGACTTCGCTGGTGCGGCTCCAACTTCCAACTTCGTCGGCGCGGCTCCAACTGCGACTTCGTCGGCGCGGCTCCAACTTCCAACTTCGTCGGCGCGGCTCCAACTGCGACTTCGTCGGCACGGCTCCAACTGCGACTTCGCTGGTGCGGCTCCAACTTCCAACTTCGTCGGCGCGGCTCCAACTGCGACTTCGTCGGCGCGGCTCCAACTGCGACTTCGCTGGTGCGGCTCCAACTTCGACTTCGTCGGCGCGGCTCCAACTTCCAACTTGTCGGCGCGGCTCCAACTGCAGCTTCGTCGACGCGGCTCCAACAGCGACCTCGCCGAAGCAGACAGGAGGACTGCAACCAGGGTTGTATACGACTCAATCAATAGCAATCAATTCAATCACGACAAATTTGGGAAACCAATCAAATCAATCAAGTCAGAGCAGTTTTCGGGAATTG